AGTGATTTATAGCAAAGTCAAATTTTGGCCCAAATTTCATTATTTTGCAAGGCTAACCCCTTGCAATTTTTTTCAAAATATGAAATTTTAATTTACTTCAAAATTAAGACCTGAATGACTCCACGACCTCTGAAATATCTTCTGATTCAATCAAAACATAGTTCTGGGTGATTTACAGAAAAGTCAAATTTTGGCCAAAATTTAATTATTTTGCAAGGCTAACCCCTTGCAATTTTTTCAAAATATCAAATTTCTATTTTTATTAAAAATAAGATCTTCAGGGCTCTAAAACCTTCAAAATATCTTCCAATTCATTCAAAACGTAGTTCTGGGTGATTTACAGCAAAGTCAAATTTTGGCCCAAATGTCATTATTTTACTAGGCTAACCCCTTGCAATTTTCCAAAATATAAAATTACCATCTTCATCAAAATTCAGATCTGAATGACTCCATGACCTCCGAAATATCTTCTGATTCAATCAAAAAGTGGTTCTGAGTGATTTATAGCAAAGGCAAATTTTGGCCCAAATTTAATTATTTTGCAAGGCTAACCCCTTGCAATTTTTTCAAAATATCAAATTTCTATTTTCAGTAAAATTAAGATCTTCATGGCTCTACAACCTTCAAAATATATTCCAATTCATTCAAAACGTAGTTCTGGGTGATTTACAGAAAAATCTTATTTTGGCAAAAATTTTATTATTTTGCAAGGCTAACCACTTGCAATTTTTTTCAAAATATGAAATTTCTATTTACATCAAAATTAAGATCTGAATGACTCCCCAACCTCTGAAATATCTTCTGATTCAATCAAAAAGTGGTTCTGAGTGAATTACAGCAAAGTCAAATTTTGGCCCAAATGTCATTATTTTGCTAGGCTAACCCCTTGCAATTTTTTCAAAATATGAAATTCCCGTTTTCAGTTAAATACAGATCTAGATGACACAGCAACCGTAATTTAAAAATATCTTCCAATTCAATGAATAAGTAGTTCCGAGGGATTTGCAGAAAAGTCATATTTTGCAAAGCCAACCCATTGAATAATTTTTAATTTAATCCATATTTTCAGTGAAATTGTGATCTATATGATTTTCACCACTATGAGCATATGTTTCTTTGCATTTAAAAAGTGTTTCCAATTAAATTGTTGAAAAGCCAAATTTCGGTAACAATTTTTGTTTTTGCAAATTTAAGCCCTTGCAACTTTTTTAATATGAAATACATATTTTTAGCAATACATTGATCGCAATGATTTCACCATGTTTTGATTTTTTTCATTCAAAAAAAGTTGCAGAGAGTGAGTGATTTGCAGAAAGACCATATTTTAACCTTAAATTGGAACAATTTGAACAAGTAAAAGTGGGACAGAAACACAACTGCCAAAACTTTAATTTGCACTCCAGACAAAATGCAAATTTTAATGGTTAATGCGAGTATAAAAAGTACATTGTATGGGAACTAGTTCGGCACTCTAAAAAGAAAAGAAAAACAAGTTACAATATCACAGTATATAGTACAAAAGGGTAGCAGGTGATAATAGACAAATTGACGAGTTGACAGATATTCCTATTGTTAAAATAATACTTCGTAACACAAGTCATAATTCTCAATCCAATAAAAGAAACTTAGCAGGGAATACATGTGTGTAGAAGTTGGAAACTCCCTGGAACACCAAATGTGCTCTTCTAACTCAGCCATCCAAGCAAAATTATGAAAATTTTCAAAAGACCTGAATTTTTGGGAAGAGAGACAAGTGGAAAGAGCTGGGAAATCCTAACACAGCACATATGTATGTCGAGGGCAGCTGGAACAGTTACGACTTGGATACTTTGTCAAGACACGAAGTAGATATACTGACCAGCCAGATTCGACCATAATGATTATCATCAAAAAGATTTCCACAAAACGCAGATGCCTATAAATTCCCATCTCTGAAGACCAGAGTGTTTGGATGAAAAGCAGAAAGTACAACCAACCAACCAACCTCATGGAAACATGAAGATACTTAATGTTAATGTTTGCCTCATTAAAAATCTGTCCCGTCTGCTTCCACAATTCAAAAATGATCCAATTTATTTCATGCAAATTCAATATGGAAACCACCAATCAATTTTACATGTAACAAAAACTGGAGATAGCTTATGTATCTCTCAAATATCAAAGCATTGACTTCATTATCATGTGGAGCAGGATTTTGCATAATTAACACTCCAACACAAAATCTACCACAGAAAATTCTCAAAACGCCGTCAGCAAACTTCTTAAATATCTAGCTCAACGTCTTTCCCCAAAACTACCTCTCTCTGAAGTACTGCCTTTCAGTATGAGGCAAGCCAGCAAACAGCTAGCTAAATTACACAAACATTTTAAACCAAACAACAGAAACTTGTTAATTTGTGTTAATGGTATACATATTTATATATAATACAATGCATCATTAGTTTTTAAAAAAGAGTCCAGTACATTATAATTCTGCTCATCCAATCACATTGTTACAAAAATTAGAGAGGGGAAGCTCATCATTGTCTACATATCAAATCAAATCTCTCCGAGTTACTCTTTTTAAGCAAATATAATGTGCACTCATTTAAAGGCTTGATGTTTAAGCAAAAAGGCAAAGCAATCTTTGAGCAATTCTGCGTGGAATGTCACAATGCTGTATATTTTGCCATTTTTAAAACAGAATCATAGCTTTCAGTCACATTCTTTCTGCCATGTGTAATTAAAACCCAATATTTAATAAAACAAATTAGTACTTCAAGTGTTTATTTTTCCTGGACAAGGAAGAAATTTTTTACAAGTACTAGCCACGATCCGAAAGGTGTTAAATGAACTAAAAACAAACCATCCAAGGCTCAAAAAAAATCATTCAAATACACTGTTGTTGACTAGAAAAATGAATACGTAATCAGGCCAATGAAGTGCATCAAGCAATCAACTTTACACAGAATTCTCCAAATTATGCAACTGTTCCACTTCAGTGTAACCCCTTACTTACCACCATTTTCTTTTATCCAAACATTCCTTCCTTGCAAAGAATGTCCCACATGTCCATGTTTTTACCAAAGCTTCTCAGCAAGCAGATACTGACTTACTCATAGGAAAGATTTCTAGTATCCTTTTAATTTTCATGTACATCTCAACTGTAGTCATTTATCACTACATCTACAAAGACTCATGAACTGAGGTATGTATAACATGACTACAACGCCTTGTAAGGACATTTTTTTTATTAAATCTCTTACAATTTTAACAGTTCAGTTTTGCGGGGCAAAATAAAAAATGGCAGAGCGACTGCAAAACATAATCATGACATTATTAAATAAAAAAGAAATTTAAGGTGAACAGACAGGCTGTATATTTGAATGCAAGACACAGGCATAATACACAGTGCTCAATCAACTGACCAATCAACTGCATTTAAACCTATCCTTCATTCTCATTGGTTGACAGAAGAAACTACAGGTGATAGCCATAATCACTGGAAAAATATCACCCCTACATGTACATGGTACACATCAGACAAAGTTTGTGTGATTATATCGTTCCTCAACATTAGTATCAAGGCAAGCCAAGAATGTTTGGACTACAAAAACCTTCCCTGCCTCCCCCCCAAAAAAAGTTATGTGTATGTACATTTATCTAAATTGTGTTAAATAAATACATGTTGAGCTAAAAAAAAAAAGTCAAAGAAATTGAGAAAAGATACTTTTGTACAAATATACACCCAACTCCCAAACTATGAGGTATTGGCTAAGGAACCTTATCAGGTCAAAGGTACATTTAAGTTTCGAATGACAAAACAACATTATTATCAACATAACAGTCCAATAAAAAACCTCAATCGGTCCGAGGATTCAAGACTGTTAGGTTAAGAATGCATTTTTTTTCTTGCAAATTCATAAACAACTTTTCCAGTTCCAACGTCTTTGGAAAATTCAAGATTCACAGAATAAGCCTGGGGCTTCTTTTTTTTTTCTTTTTTGAGGTCAAATCCAGCTCGCATCAAGATACAATCCTCAATAATGCATGAGCGAAGTCACACGTATGTTTATGACACCATGAAGGAGACATCATGAAACCTTCATCTTTTAATTTGAAAGGCATCCTAGTTGTGACAAATGAACCAGATTTTGGCAAATAATTCAAGGCACTCAGTGGCTACAATTTTGAGATATCTGTGGGTTGGATGAAGGCATTGTACAAGATGGCATCTGTTTATATACATGTACATAAACTGGAATTTGAGAAAATATGGCACACCGTGTAGCTGTGCTTTGCAGCATGCCGTGTGCTTCTTGTTCCATTCGTTCATTGGCGGAAAACAAGGTCAATATTGGAGTATGAAATGAATAAACGTGAGTTCCGCACATACATGTACACTGTAAATGAGAGCACTGCAAGTGTACTCAATCAATTTATAGTACTGTGAGTGAATGAGAAAATGTTCTCTTTTTGGCATATAAAATATATGAGACTATATTAAGTGAAACAGTAAGAATTATCTCATAAGGAGACAGACAGAATGTTCCATTCCACGAGGCCAAACCAAGCAGAATGGAACAGATTATCCGTCATCAAATTTAAATTCATTCCACTGCACAAATCTGACCCATGCATGATCTGCTTTACACAATGCCTGAATGAATCCTTACAGTGCCTTCATAAATCTCTGCCTGAATTAATTCCTCATCACCAACAAGTTCAGATATTTCTTGTGACTGTGCAATGGAACTCCCATGTACCGTGGAACAGAACTTCCATTTTTGTAGTGCAGCTCAGCCTTGCTTCCGTAGAAATAATTCAGTGGCACACAATCGGGAGGAGAAATTTACTCATGTATTGTTCATTACAAAATATTTCTTAGGAGAAGAGATTTATTCATGCATTGTTCATTACAAAATATTTCTTGTTTGAATAAATGTTCAGCTTCATGGTAGAAAGGGAATGAAGTCTGGCTAGTTGTAACTTGTATGTACTTTTAGGAACACTGGCCAGACCATGATAAAGTCTCAACTCCCTACTGGCTATACTTTAAGCAATCAATACATATCTCCTCGATCGCCTGCTAAATAGTTATCATGGAATTGAATTCAAAAGCCTAGCCCATCTCTGAAATTGAGGCGGTTGTGATTTTTTCCATTTTGAGTAAAAATGTGCAAATCTTTCTCCAAAAAAGATTTCAAACTTTACAGAAAGACCACGTCAGGAAATACAAGCAGTTATGTTGACAGAAATTGGAGATTATTTATCGCATATTTCACAGTATCGGTGCGTCCATGCACTACAAAGAAGAAAACCACGCTTTTTTTGGTCCAATTTCAAATTGCAGTAAAAACTTGTCCCCTTATCAGACCCTGGCAGCGTCATAACCAGTATCGTAGTCCGGACCCGATTCTGAATAGCGCATACGTCGATCTGATCGGCTTCTGTGCTTCAACGAGCCATACTCCTCCCGATATCCACCATCGCGGACGTGGTCAATACTTTGGGAGGAGGCTATACGCGGGCGTCGCTCGGCTGGGTAGTGGTTGGGTGTTGGGCCGTTGGCATAGCCTTTATGATTGGAAGGGTAGTGGTTGTTGTCGTAATGATTGTCTGAGCGGTGGCGGTCATGGTCTGACTGGTAGCCACTTTCCCTGGTGCCCCGACTGTAAGGTTGATTGGGATCGTTGGAAGGTCGCCTACGGGACGGTCTACAAAAGGGAAGAAACTAGCACATTTTACCAGTGACTGGCTCATTCATCCACATTCAGTCCAAACATATTTCTCAGGCTTCAAAGAAATTATCATTTACCGACCCATCAGATTTCAAAGGGTGCAAGGAATTTTAAAAAACCTGAGAATTTAATATCCTTTTCAACACAACATCTACTAAAGACTTCCAGCTCAATGTGGTGTTTATTTAGGGGGGTTTTAATCTGACAGTCCAGTACCTTCCACAAAGAGAACTCTGGAAAAGACAAAAGCCAATCAGTTAAGTCTCAAAATGAAGAAATTCAAGAACAATACTTAAAAGAGTTCAGATGATTCCCGAAAAGCAATTCAATACACAATGCCTACTACAAAACACACCCATCATAAATGAAGGCAGAAACAAGAAGACCAGTGATAGGACTAATGCAAACACCACGCAGGCACATACAATCCCTTCTCACAGCACAGCTATATTTCTCACCTGCCAAGACTGCCGTAGCCGTACTTGTCACCACGAGGTGGGCTCCGGTGTCGGTCTGGACCCTCTCGTCTCTCATCATACCATCGTTCATCCCTCCGGTGTTCTCGCCCATCACCGGTTCCCCTTTCCCCGCGGTGTCTCCTGTCCAGTGTATCACCCCGTCTGTCCTCATGATGCCTGCCGTCTCGTTTGTCGGTTCTTGGATCATCTCTTCGATCTCGCCTGGGATCAGAGCTCTTCTCCTCTGACCTGTCCTCTTCTGAGGAAGGTTTTCATCTTTGTCTTTGTTCTTGTCCTCCTTGGACTTGGTCTTGTCTTTCTCCTTCTTCTTGGCTTCCTTCTCCTTTTCTTTGTCCTTCTTCTTGTCTTTGTCGCTCTTCTTCCGCGTCAACTTCGGCTCCTCCTTGTCTTTTTTCTCATTCTCTTTGCCCTTAGCCTTGTCAGCTTTCTTGTCCTTGCTACCCTTCTCGCTATCCTTACGTTTCAGCGTTTCTTTACTCTTGGCAGTGTCACTGTCCTTGCGACTCAAGGTTTCACTTTCCCGGCGTTTCCCCTGGGTATCACTGTTTTTCAGTTTCTCAGGATCGTTGTGTTTCTTGGCTGTCTCTCCTTCATGCCGGTCCTCCCTTCTATCTACCCTTTTGCCATCGTGTCTGTCACTGTGCCTGTCAATGCGATACTTGTCGTCCTGATACCGTTCATCGTGATATCTATCATTTCGGGCCCTACTGTCATCATACCTCCTGTCACGTGGCCTGTCCTCCTCGTGATACCTCTTGTCTCGAGGCCTGATTTCCTGGTAACTCTCTTCCCGATATCTATCCTCCCGTTCTCTCTTTTCATTTCGATACCAATCCTCTCTATTCCTTTCCTCTCGCACATGGTCTCGCTGTCTGCTCCCATCCAGGCTGTCGTATATTTTGTCGGGTGACCGCTTTGGCAAACTGCGGTCTTGTGGATCGCGCCTCTCCACAGACGCGTAAGGATGCTCTTCGCGTATCCTTTCGGCTCTGTCGCGATCCAGAGTCTTCTCACCACGCCAGTCTCTGTCAGGGTGTTCAGGGTTCCTATCGAGGCGGGGTTTGCGGACAACTGATGCATAATGAGGCTCAGCATGGACATCAGCGGCAGTGCGAGAATCTCGATTTCGATCTGGGTTACCCCTGGGCTCATTGCGAGACCTTGATTCCATGTATGGAGGGACACTGTGGCGGCCGTAACGATGTCTGCTCTCAGCATCGTTTTCCCTCTGCTGCTCTCTCCTCTCATCTCGGTTACCATGGTGATACTCGTCTCGTCTCTCAGGCCACCGGCTGTCATCATGACTGTGGGACCCCCTGCGATGGTTCCCCTCACTCTGTCGTTCCCACCGTTCCTGGTCATGGTTATGATACTCAGGGGCATGTCTGCCCTCCCGATGTGGTGAACGAGGCCCAGGACTCTGTATAGAAAAATCAATCTTACAATCAGCAATTCAAAAAGCAATGACAATCAGTAAACAAGATATAAAACTCATACTGAAGGTCCCATCATCGACAAAAAACCTACAGGAACAGAGTGGACATTTTCAACACACTTAACAAAAAGTGATGAGCAGCATAACAAAGTGAACTTTGGTTTTAAAGATTGGCATCATTCTCACAGCTCAGAATCAAGATTTGAAGAGTTGCGAACAAACAGATGGACCCTCAACTCACTCTGGGGGATGTTGGTGAGCCATCAGCATATCCCTCATCTTCCTTGTCTCCACTTCTTTCACCATCTTCATCGTCATCGTCATCATCATCAATGTAACGACCTTGTCTCTCTCGGTGGTCTCGCTGGTATCGTTGTCTCAGTTCCTGCATCCTTTGGGCCTTCTGACGCGCCTCTTCGCTCTCCTCTTTGTGGCGCTTGAGGGACTGCTGCTCCCTCAGCTTACGCACTTCATCCTGGATGCGAGAGCTGAAAGGTGCCCAGATAGGAATGGACCAAGTAAGAATATACCAGATGACAATGGACGAGATTGTAAAGGACTTGAAATGACAAAGAATTGACAAACAGGGTCAAGCAAATAGCAGTGCTCCAAGAATAGGCCACATGGTAATGCACTCAACAGCCAGGGACCAAATAAGAAAACACCAACAAGGCCAATCAGGAATGGAGCCAACTAGGAATGGACCAACTAGGAATGGACCAACTAAAAACAGACGACACGACAATAACCACATAAAAATGCACCAAATATGAAGAAATCAACATGGTCAAGTAGGATTCCAGCCAACTAGGAATACGGGCGATTCACAATAGTGCAGCTCCACAAGTTTGCAACGCATTGGCCAATCACAGCGTGAGAAATCTGTCGACCCTTTCCAAAGGCGCAGTGGGTCAACAGATTTTGCGCATCATGACTGGCCGACATGTGGCAAACTCTTGGAGGCGCACAATTGTGAATCACCAAATGAAATTAGTTAAGGACAGTGACGAAATCAAAAATGAAAAAAATAGGACAATTGTCCAGAATCAGAATCTTTTGGTGGCCCGACTTTTTGCCTGAGGGAAACAGGAACTCACTTCTGCTCCTCTTGTTGTTCCTTATATTTCTCCATGTCCTCTTTGGCTTTCTCCGAGGACGTCGATGAACCTTTGGCCTGGTCCTCCTCAAGGGATTTCCCATCTCGCTCAGGCCTACGATTCTTGCCAAACCTAGACCAAAGACAAAAACAATGAGATGTATTCCTTCAAACAAAAATAGGATGCCGAGGTCAATGGTGATCTAGCCATCTAAGTTGATTCTTTGAAATACTCTGATTCAAACAAATAATTCCTGACTCATACTCAAACTCCAACAACTTAATTATTATTATCTTTGATTTAAAAGGGAGACCCATTCACATATAATTGTGGTCTTCCATGGGGTCCTGGGAAGTAAATTAAGTTAAAATAAATAACAATAGGATTATTAACACCAAAGATACAATGTACTCAAATATATAATGGTGAAATTAATTAAAATAAATAAAGAGATAGAAATACAAAATTGTACAATATACACAAGTAAACAAAGACAAATCAAACCTCACAAGGATTAAAATAATAATGAACAAACGACACGTAAAAGTAAACAGAATAATTATAAAATGCATTGGGAATAAAATCAGAATAAAATCGTCTTGAAATATTACAAAGAGGTAAAGGTAATTACAAGTACAGTATATAATGGATTAGTTGAATTAACAATGTATCATACTCAAACTCAAGCCAAGTGAGTTACAACTTTTTTCTTTTGAATACCTGAACATGGAGCCGAAGCCCTTGAAAGCACTGCTTTTTCTCTTGTCTTTCTCCTTCTTGTTGCTTTTCTTGGAGCTGCTGGTCCGAGACATGATGACCGGGTCATGGCTGCTGACTGATGAGTGGTCATCACGGGACGAGCGGTCATCCCTGACAGGGGCGTGGCCATTCTCCATGTACTCCTTCACTGTCATTGAGAAACCCAAACAAATAAGACTGTGGACGATGAACTGAGATTGTTTCGGCAGGGAAAATGTGAAAGGGTAACCAGATTTTTTTTTTACGAGACTTCATTCATACCTGAATCAGTGGAGGTGGAATTACCAGCAGTCCCGTTGAGCGGCTGGTCGTAGGACCGATCCACAGCCGCTCGGAAGCTCTCATTGCAGCCCCGACCTCGCACAACCTTTGCCCTTGGTCGTGCAGGCAGGTCATCATGGGTCATAATCTCTGCCACAGCTGCCTGTAGGCTCTCTAGCGAGCTGTTCTTTTTCAAGCCCAGAGAAGGACCAATTTGCCTTCGCTCATCTGGAGTCACTGGAAATAAACAACAATGCATCCAAATTAGAACATCTTTGCAATTGATGAATCACCCACTGATCGCGCTGTTTAGAGGCTAGCTGTGAGAGTGATCAATTCATGCCACTGGTATCCATCTCATTCTGTTTTCGTCCTCTGATTAACATCATAATGGAAAAGATTTATCATCCCCTCTGAATTGAGAATTTAGATAAATATCCAGAAAGTTAATGTTCCAGTAATGGCCATACTGATATAATGGCTTTTCTTACTGGGAGTGCAGTTTCCTGATATCTTTAATGAACCAATTAGGGACCATCTCAGAAAGTCATTACTTGATGCCTTAGCTCTCACACAAAGAGCATGAACAGTGGATAGCTGTACTAAGGGATCAGGTCACCACAAATTAAACATGAATGATCATTCCCATTAGCCTCTGTAGCCTTGTAATCGTTTCCATTATGAATTCAAAAGCTAATCTGTGGAAGGTTCTTTCTACTGGAACTGTTGATGAGGAAGCTAGAAGACAAATATTTATTGCAGAGAGGTCTTCCAACTATTATCGCCTAAGAATGGCTCTTTCTGTTTGTAGACTGCAGCAAGGTAGACTTGGTTTCTTTTAATGCAACAGATGAGTTAGTAGAACAGACAAGCATGACAGGGACAAATTCTGTCCAACCAAACATTCCAATTTCAAGAAAGCCTTTCCGTTTAGCAAACTTACAGCGGTGTATGGAAGACAAGTTGGATTTATCCGCCAAGTTGTCGGTGGAACTGGATTTGACCAGACTACCTGTACTGATGGCGATATCTGGAACAACAGACACAACACAAACACAGTGCAGTTAATGGTGATGCAAACAGTCATGCAGGTTATTCAGACTATTCAAAAGGCTCAGGAATCAAACAGAACATCAGCAATACGCATTCCTATCAGATCCATGCACACCTTAACAAAGGTGCTCTCCAATGCCATGCAATGAAAAATGATAAGATATTCCACTTTTACATGCAGTTCAGCAGGTGGGTTACCAAAGAAGGCCGGTTAGGGTATTAAATATGTTGACACATTTTTTAGCACAGGTGCTTGAAAATATTTAAACCCTATCACTTCAAAATGAAAACAGCTTCTCCAAATATTTCAAATATTTGAAAACATTTAAACCCTATCACTTTAAAATGAAAACAGCTTCTGCACGATAATATTTTGTGAAGTTTATTTCATTCTCATGGAGTGAAATTCCACCCTTCGTGAATTCAATTTCCTCACTGAATCTTCCTCATTTGGCAATGTGGATGCACCTGGTCATAAATAATTCCCAACTCTTTCTGAGTTGCCCATTGTCGATGGTACAAAACCGAGATGAAAATATGTAACACGACTCGGTTATCACGTAAACACTGCACAACGTGTGGATAATGAGAAACTGATCGGCGGCGACTGAATGGCTCCTCAGTTCTACAAATTCAGCATCAATTGCCTTAAAAATGCCAGTTACCATGACAACAGCATCCATGGGATAATTCACTGTCACTCATTCCAAATATCACTGAATCTTGAATCACTGACTAATGCTCTCACAAATGCAGACTGCAAAGTAATCTGGGGAAATTTTACAATTGTCAGATGATATCAAATTTTCCCTTGATAAAAAATCTAAGCCAAAAAGTTAGGACAGACAAGGACCTTCTGATTTCTTAAATGTTGACACACAAAATAAAAAGATTCTTTAAATGACCTACTTCCAAAACATAAATGTAGAAACGAATGTAAATCTAAATATTCAAATTGACAGCTTTGACAAACTTCCTGGCCATTTGGGATCTGATATTCAGGACTCCATGTGACAGAATGAGTCCTCGTCCGTTCCTGGAAGACAGAGGTGAAGGGCCTACAACTGATTATGGAATACTCCAGGCTCTACCAGCAAGTGGTCCATTGACAAGATCTAATATACTAAGTACTTGTTTTCATGGCAAATACAAAGAAGGTGGTAACTTTTCACTTCTTAGAAAACACTTTTCATTGACGTATGAATAAGGGCGCTTGTTGTCATACAACGCAAACCTTGTCAGAAAAGAAAAAAGGGTACAAAGTTACAAAGTCAATCCTTTAAAACGCAATGTTTTGGAGAAATACTGACCACTACATTGTTCTCACCGGCCACTTCACATGAAACACAAATGTAAAGTGGATCATATATTGCACAAAAACTATGGAGACACTCTTGTTCTACCTCCAATGACATTGAACTTTGGCTCATGAATACGGAAACCTTCATTTGCGTAAAACCCAAAATGTTGAAATTTCTTCCTTTTACTGCTACGAAGGAAGCAAAAAGTCATTTTAACTCGTAAATAAAGCTGGGCTACATGTATTCAAGTCCTAAAAATCCTGCTATACACTTTACACGGTTCCAGTATAAGCGAAATGCATCCGATCAAACAGTTCATACATCTCTTCAGTTTTAAATACCACTCCAGCCTCGCATTGATGGTGTCACATTGTGTCACATCCATCTATGTAAGGAATTTCAAAAAATATGTCAACAAACTGAAAAGACCATGAGATCAGAATCTATTTACGAACAGCTTTGTGGAGAGCTACGTGGGATGACAGATTTGGACAACTCTACAAAAACCGGACATCTTTCTTCGTCTTTTGGCACCGAGCACACAAGGAAACCTACCAATATCTGCTTTTGTGAGGAAAGGAATTGACCACAAAGAGAAAATTTCAAGAGTTTAGCTCCAGACTGCAAAGTAGAAGACAGTCAGGCCAATCTAAGGCCAAAGTTCCTGCTGGCTTAACTGTAATGGACTGCATGAGTGAGTGGGGGGGGGCTGCTGACACTCCCAACTGTAATGGAATTGCCTGGGGTAAGACTTCCCATAACAGTCACAACTGGACTACTAAATACAATGATTGACTTCACCACTAACCCAGCTGTTCACACAGCAGGTAGGGCAACACAGTACCATGTGTCTGTTAATATTATGCATGAGCTGCTCTACATTTTGTTCAGCTGCCACAATTCAGACCGCAACCAGGACAAACAAGGAGTAACCATTACTAGTGAATTGATAGGTTTTTGACAGCTTGATATCTGTCATATTTTCAACAGAATTTACGACTTAAGCCACCTTCTTGGTTGTTAATGGCAATTCTTTGAACTGAATCGCAAAGATGCATCTTGTTCATAATGCATGTGAGCTGATGCTGACATGATAAAGTGGCTCTCCTAGCTAACTGCTAGAGGGGATAATGAAAAAGATACAAATGGATTGAAAGATAAAGGCAGGTGAATTTTGTCTTGAAAGACATGCTATGATCATCATCAGCATCATCATCTGAGCAGAGAGGCTCACGACGACTGCATGTCAAGCTCAACTCCAATCAACAGTATGATGATGCAAAATTACCCTCCACAAGGCGTGAAAACCACTCAATGAACAGGGCTATGAGAAATAATACACTCCAGGAAATTAGCCATCCTCTTGCCACAGGACAAATAGGTTCTAGGAAAATGACAGCAAATAGGTTCTAGGAAAATCACAGCAGGTAAAGTGTTCTCTAGATGCGGAACTAGGAAAAAAAGCTACTAAAACATTGTTTTGTTCTCTTGAACAAAATCTTCAAAAGTTATCCTTTGACTTTTGGGAGTCCAAAACGTGTCCTTTCTAAACAAACATATATGTCTGGCTTGCTCCATGGACGTCTGTGCCCCTACCCCCAGACCAACAGATACAGGAGAGGTACATCCTGGTGCATCAAAAGACGATTTGAGAAGGGAAACGGGAATCAATAACCAACGTCGCAGCGAGCACTGGCCAGAGAGATACATGTATGCAAGAAAAGAGGCCATGTGAAAAGAATGAAGGTTTTGACGCTACCACCTGCTCCGCGAGCCCAAGATAAGGCAGGATTGACTCAACGCAAGCCAGAGAAATAACAGAAATTTGATTGAGCACTCAAGATGATCCATATTTTCTTTAGAAACAAAGGTCAACAAAATTCCCCTGTTCTTTTAGAGCAGGTGTTTGCATTAACTAGTAAAATTACTAACACTGACCTCTGAATGACAGCTAGGAGAAATATACGCACAATAAAATTTATTCAAGAGACCCCACATGATTCAATCCAAGGAAGGTGATTTACCAGCAACCTTCCTAATCCTATTGCAAATCTCACCACCTTATGGTAAACTGTGCACAAAAACAACTGGACTGTTTATTTGTTGTGGGTTTAATCCCACATAAAACAGTCACTAATGCAGTACTCATCCTAAAATAAATACTAACAAACCCTGGCGTTGGAGTTTGGTTGGAGATCCACAAGGTTTAAACAATTTCTTCAGCCTCCAACTACACAATAACCACTAAGCAAATTCTGGTAATTTTAATATTTCCACTGAAAACAATTGCAAGACTGCCTTCTTAGCGACAGGTGAAGCGGAAGAGTAAAATAAGCAAGCCAAACAGAAATGATTACATACATGTACATGTACGTCAGAGTAGTCGAGGATGATAAATGAATGATCACGGTTGGCTGATCAGGAAAGGGCAGCCAACCACATAAGAAAGACAGAATACACCTGCAATACCCCCATAATGTTAAGGACTCCATGTGTTTTTGTAACACTGAATATATGCAAAAGCACCGGTAACTATCCTGATATGCCCATGTACAGAGGAAGGAGAGGTGCAGCCATCATTTTCTGCAGTGGGCGGGAAAAGCATCACACTCTCTTCTGGCTCCATGTAGCAGAAATCTACAAATACACATCTAACGGTACATCTTTGAATGCCTTGGAGGATTGTTTCAATTAAGATCTTTAACATTCCCTCAGCTTAGCCACATGCATTTCTGCCTTAATTGACATCAAGTGCATCGCTCCTGTTAAACTCTGAAATCTAGGAAGCTGAGACAGTTCTACCATAGCATGGTGTTAACAGTCCTTTCTGTCCCCTCAGGAAATGCCAACTCATTTGTCAAAAGTCACACAGCCACAGACGAAGTCAACAGCACTTTGGAGAGATTAAAGTGTAAAAGATGGATGGATTATTCCAGTCAGGTGCCTTTGGCTGCACAAGCTTCCTGCTAGAACTGTTATTCAACTGGACAGTTCCTTCATCCCCAATATCACCAGAGAACCAACTTAAGTCAAATTACTTACTAGCAGTTTTGCAACGAGATAATTAATCACACATCCCTAAGGTGTGTAAAACGGACAGAAATTATGTTAGCAAACTGCAGTAAGATTAAAGGTTGCTCGTAATCTTGCCAAGTGCTGCCAATTTCTCCTGACAAGCATCTTTTTTCAGTATTTTTTTAATTCTTACAGATGGTGTGCCATAGCAGTTTCCTTCTTTCAAAAACAGAAAAAAAGCCAAAATCTCCAAAGGCAAAGTGGCATAAAATTTTTCTAAAAAAATTATTCAAAACACTAGAATTGTTGGCATGTGTCAATAAAATGATATTCAGAGCTGAAATAGACAAATATTCATGTGTAAGATGGTATCTGATACGGAACCATCATGCCTCACAAAAAACTGTTCATCGTTCCTAGTTTCCATTGATGAAGTCTGATGATATGACTTCCAATCGTAACCTTTCTTCAGCGGCTTGCATTATTTCCACTTTCTGTTTCCTCAATCATTTGTTATTTACCAATAATAAAATCTGCCTCTTTCAAAAAATTTCATGCAGGAAAAATCCCTTTTGATCTTCTGGGAATCACTGAAGGTCTTCTTGAAGCACGCTGCACTTATCAGATCATATCCAGAATTCCTACGCACCGAGCTGAATGC